GAAATATAATCTTTAAAAATTAAGCTATTTTACCGATGTATACCGGCTACTTAAAAAGTCAAGTTCTCTTGAAATTTTTTTCTCAAATTTGACATATAACCTTACATTACTTAGCAAAATGTTTGTAGGCGTATGTGTTACTTTCTGAATTACTAGTAATGACAACCACAAACTCTCTGCATTACCGGTATTCAAAAAATAATGGCAATTAAATACCCTCTACATTACCTGTGGGTTAAAAAAAAAAGTTTTTCCAATTAAATTTACAAGATAACGCTTTTACGGCTTAAGAGCGGATTTGAGAACTAATGAAACAGTATATCGAAGCTTAACCTTAATTGATTTCATCTTAATTTGACGGAAGTATTTTTTTATGTTTTATGTGACTTCCCTCATCAAATATTATTGCTATAGGGTGCATGTTATGACTTTGAGATGGCTTAAACAAGAAAAAACAAGTAAGCAAAGGCTATAGTCGTGCGGGGCCGACCATGTGATACCCTACAACACTACCATATGTTAGAAGCTCCCTTATATCCAGATCGAGTTTTTAAGATTTCGCTTTTGAAATTATGTCACCGAACACTGACCTGACCAGGGACATTTGCCCAATATTTAAACACACCGTCATGCTGTTAGTTGTTGTGGGCCATTTTCCATCCAAAATGCTTGAATCCTTCCCTGTCCTTAACTCTCTTCTCAAGCGTGTCGATTGGCTTCAATTGTGTGATCAGGAAATTTTTGTCTGTATTTGGTTCATTTGAACCCCTAAATATTTTGCGATCATCTCCAAAAGCAAGAGGCCCCTCTGTATCTCTAAATTTCAACGAAATCAGCATAAAAAAACCAAAAATTCGGCTTTTGTGTATTTCGGATATCGCCTGTAAGTAATGCTGGTATTTTTTCACACAAAAGTAGTGGTCCATTCTACTCGCTGTCCTGAAATCTAACTTCATGCGAGATTTCGTGTCCTTTTCAACCCCCAATATATTTTTGGGGGTTGAAATGGACTACAACCCTCAAAAATATATTGGGGACATCTTTAAAACCAATAGGCAAACCAATATTGACATCTTTTTATGCGATTTTTTTTTAGAATTTATACTTTTGCCAAGAGGGCATTCTGAATTGACAAAATTTGACAAAATCGGTCCAGCCATTTTTGAAATATAAGCATTCAGCTCACTTCCCCTTCCTTTGTACATATATACATGGTCTATATTTCGTTATATATAGCCGATACATTTACTATCGCCATCGACATTATGGTCAAAATTGTTCGTCTATTTGTGATTTCATCGGGATTAAAAATATTCGCGGTTTAATGGGAATTTTGACTTTCATTTCACACAAATGTTATGGTCTATTTCATCAAAGAAGACTTGGAAGACTTCTAGCCACCCCTAAGATCTATCCCCATGCTAACTTCCGCTTCGATTGGTCCATAATTGCGACCTGTAGAACAACTGCAAAATTAGGGAATTTTTCAGTTTTTGGTCAATTTCAACCCCTAAATATTATGCGATCATCTATGAAAGCAATAGGGTTCTATTGTGACCATAACCCCACCTCCATTTTCAATTTCGTGAGGATCGGACCATAATTGCGACCTGTAGAGTGATTACAAATTGACATGGACAGACGGACGGACATACATAGCTAGATCGACTCAGCTCGGCGAGATAGGAAGATCCATATATACTTTCCTATATGGGAAACCAATTTTTCGAGGTGTTACATAACTTTTGGCCCAATCAAACTTATAATACCCCCAATACATAGTGTTGTAGGGTATAAAAACGAATGACGCATATACATTTGGGCTTTAGCTACATAAGAATAGATTTACACCAAATGTAACGCATTTGTTTACAGACTAAATCCGGCTTCCCTAAGTTGGCTTATATTCAACATTTGGTACACGATAAATGTGAAATTGCATAAAAATCTTTATGGGAGAATTATAAATATCTGTTATTTGGTATCATTAATATCAAATCGGATGAAACATATATACTATATAGGTCTAGGTTTTATGTGCTTAAATGCATTATATTTGGCCTAATATATATATATATATATATATATATATATATATACATATATATATATATATATATATATATATATATATATATATATATATATATATATATATATATATATATATATATTATAAATATATGTGGCAGCAATATTATAATTGAAGCCGATTTTCACCAATTTCATTAGAATTCGTCCTGCAATGCATCTCAATCAGACAACAAATGCGACCAGTACGTTGTTTACAAAAATTCATGTACCGACGGACATGAATACATCGACACAGAATGTGATCCTATGGAGGTTTTCAAAAGGAACTATGGGCCTATCTCGATTCCACCTGCATGTTACAAACAAATACACAAAGACATAATACCCTGCACCATAGTGTTGCGTAGGGTATAAAGAAAAGAGATGCACCGAAACAGCTAATGCTAGAATAAAATTAACAAAATACCGAATTTCGGGAAGTATCGTTATATAGGGGCTATCAGTGTTATTGACCGTAGCACCCGTTATGAACTTAAATTACGGAATTTGAAATAATTCCGGTAAAAAATATCTCTAATAGTAAAAAATATGTTATGTAGTGAACCGACATGGCCAAACTTAACTGCTTACTGGCGAATTACACATGGGTGTAAAATATTAGCCTTCTACCGACCGACAGACATCGTTAAATAGAACATATATACTTTGTTGGGTCTGACATGAGTATTTCTAGGAGTTAAAATCGGAATGACAAAGTTAATATACCCTCCGTAGAATGGTGGAGAGTATAAAAATTGGTATTTGGTACCAGATAACAGATACAGCCCAGAAATACCTCTCCAAAATTGTATCGAGAACGGCAAAGATTTGGGTATATCTCCCATATATATCCTTAATCGGATTTCAGGTTTATTGTGCAAATAATGGCTAATATAAGCCCAATCGGAGTGTATTTTTGTGAAACTCGGCTCCCAAAAAATATATACTTTTTATACCCTCCACCATAGCATGGAGGTTATTTTAAGTTTGTCATTTCGTCGAAATTTACATTTTAGACCCCGTCCGTCTGTGGAAATCACTCTTGCTTCCGAACGAAATGAAGTAGATTCATAAAATTTTACTCAAATGTGTATAATGTCTGCAGGACTTGTGGTATTGAAAATGGGCCATGTAGGTATGGAATAGCCCCCCATATAACGGTACCTCCCAATATTCTGTAATTTGATGATTTTAGCGACATTATTTACCGGAATTGTTCCAAATTTGGTATTTGAAGTTCGTAATGGATACTACAGCCTATGACAGGAGATTGTCTGTGCAGGTCCACGTCTTCGTATAGCCCCCTCTAACGGTACCTCCCGATATTCGGTATTTTTATGATTTTAGCTACATTGTTCACCGATTTTTTTTAAGTTTCGCATTTGAATATTTTAACGGCTTATGACAAAAGTTACCTATGCAGGACCATATCGTCGTATTGGTCCAGCTTCATTCGGTATTTTTGAGATTTTAATAGAATTTTTAACGGATTTTTATTGTTTTAGAGAATTGCCAAATTCATTCCAAATGATCGAGGTTATTCAAAGTTCATCCCGGCCGAACTTGTTTAATATTTTTTCTTGTTTAATATAAATTTTCTCCATGTGATACCATGCACTCTCTAGCAAACTATAACTGCTCTAAAGCCAAATGTTGATAGAGAGTATGATCTACTTGAAATAAATTATTTTGTTACGGGAGCTCTTCTAAATATGCTAAGTGGTGTAGGGAATCGTATAGTCGGCCCCGCCCGACTTTTGATTTTTCCTTACTGGTTTTAAAAATGGAATTTTGATGTTCGGTATGATGATCACTGTGTGTTGAAGATAAAGTAATGGGGCTGGAACATGAACATGAATTTTAAAATAGGAAATATTCCACATGGTACTACGTTAATTAATATTTGTATTGTTAAATTTTTGCTATGCTAAATAAATAAAAATATAAATATCATATCTTTTTGAAATTATACATTTCCGACAGACAGCTATATAAGGTCAGATTATGATAACACATGAAACATTTAGCAATATTTATTTATTTCCAAAAAAATTGCAAACCTATTATTTTAACATTCGAAGGCCGGATGATGCAACTGCGTGCACATTTCCCCCTCATTATTTCTAGATGATTTTCCATTTGATTTGGAATAATTAATTTTTCCTCTCCATAATTTTAATAATGTGTAATATTATTTATTAAAATGCTAGCATACGTTTTTTTTGGCTTCCACTACCATACCGAAAATAAACAAAATGGACCGCACGTGAATTTTTCATTACAAACTATTTCATAATTGCCGACCACTTGCTGACCTGGTCAAACGTTGCCACCACATACGATTAAATACGCCGCACTTGCCACAAAACTCAAGCACAGTTCAGAGTTGAAAAAGTCAGACCACAAAACCAAGCTATGATGTGATGATAATTCGAAATTAAAAACAAAATTCGAAAAACATTAACGGCAACAACTACAACAATATAACACAAAGGTAAATTGTTGTCAAAGAGTTAAATTTTTATTGATGGTCTTCATTGCTAACTGTAATTGTCGCACATTTAATGGCGTGGCAATTAATGAAAACGCGTAATAAACGAAATTAAAATAAATGTGGCGTGTGTGTGTGTGTTTGTTTTTCGTTCCTAAAGCGAAAGTATTTCACATTTGATGTCATGCCAGCCAGCCAGCCAGTGATGCTATTAATTCAATAAATCGTGTGTGTTTGTTTATCTCGGTATGTAATATATATACGAACATACATATATTTATTTCATTTTATTCAATTATTTATGTAACCGCAAAATTGTGCAAGTACTTAATTGCAAAGATGATAATGACGATGTGAGCGATGATGATAATGATATTTACAATGATTAAAACCAATGAACGACGCAATCGGTATCAGCATGAAACTTTCTTCTCACCTTTTGATATTTGATGCCCCCTCGAACCCAGGGGTTTCTGTAAAAAAAAGAGAAGCCAATAATTGTCATTAAAATTTTGATGAAGATATGTATGAATTATAATTTAATTTATGAAATAAATATTTTTAATTATCGAGAAATGTGAACCACATATTGGTGGACAAATTTTTGCATAACAATTAATAGAGCACAAGAAAAAAATTGAGGGGTGAAGAGCAAGGTATATAATTCCCTACACCAGAAAAGTACGTAGTAACCTCAGCATTGACATCTTAATGAATACGCCCTGTGTGGGACGTACAAAAGAAATTGGACTTACACTATGTATTATATTAGTATAAATATTTGAGTAGAACCGGAGAATTGCTTTGAATTTTCTTAAACTTATGAATATGATAAATTCCTGGGGAGGGTATGAGGAAAAGTGAATAAATCACATCTTCATGTCATATCTGATACTGTACAATTGGAATATGCGAAATGTGAAGAAATACCGGAAACAGAGTTATACTTGACGAGGCTTATTATTAACAAGTAAAAAAGCCTGCCGGGCCGAACTTTGAATACCGAACTTTAAATTGGAACGAATTTGGCAATTCTCAAAAAAATTCTGTTCAAATCTTAGAAATACAGAATGTAGCTGTTTTATTAGGGTCAATACGACGACATGGACCTACATAGATAACTTTTGTCATAACTTTTATTCAAATGCGAAACTTAGATAAAATCGATGAATAATGTAGCTAAAATCATCAAAATATCGAATATGGGGAGGTACCGTTATCTGGGGCTATACGAAGACGTGGAACTGCACAGACAATTTTCCGTCTTAGACTGTAGTATTCATTGCGAACTTCAAAAACCAAATTTGAAACGAAATACCGAATATCGGGAGGTACCGTTATATGGGGCCTAGACAAAGACGTTGACCTGTACAGACAAATTTCTGTCTTAGGCTGTAGTATTTATTGCGAACTTCAAATACAAAATTTGAAATTCCGGTGAATAATGTCGCTAAAATAATCAAAGAACCTAATATCGGGAGGTACCATTATATGGGGGCTATACGAAGACGTGGACCTGCACAGACAATTTTCTGCCATAGGCTGTAGTATCCATTACGATCTTCAAATACCAAATTCGAAACAATTCCGGTGAATAATGTCGCTAAAATCATCAAAATACCGAATATCGGGCGGTACCGTTATATTGGGGCTATACGAAGACGTGGATCTGACGAACAATCTCCTGTCATAGGTTGTAACGTTAATTACGAACATCAATTACCAAACATAGAACATTTTCGGTGAATAATGTCGCTAAAATAATCAAAGAACCTAATATCGGGAGGTGCCGTTATATGGGGGCTATACCAAAACGTGGACCTACATGGCCCTTTTTCAATACCAAAAATTCTGCAGACATATATAAATCGACATAGAATTTTATGCTGATCAAGAATATTTATATTTGTGGGTCTAAAATGTATATTTCGATGTGTTACAAACGTAATGACAAACTTAACATACCCTAAGTACTATGGTGGAGGGTATAGAAATGTTGACCTTTTGGGAAGGTACAAGAAGAATTGGCCCAATATTTTCCATGTACGTTTCTGGCGTAAAGTGATATTGACATTATCGCGAACCGTTATATAATAAGACAATATTTCTGGGATTTGAACAGAACACAGAAATCACTGGACCAATATTGTACTAACTGACCTAAGTTTTATCTAGATATTACGAGTATGAACTATATCACATGCTGCCACAATATGAGTTTTTTATTTACCATTTTTAGTATTTATAGGGAAGTGACGGAGGGAAACCACCAATATATTCGATTTTCACTCCCGTAAAGTAAGTAAAGTGGACACTGATTCCCCATATTACGAGGATGTTATAATGGCAAGTTTTGACCTTTTTTGTAGGAGTCAATAGAACTACTAAGATATTTTTTTTCTTTTTATAACATATAGGACAAGTAGGATGCATTAACGTACCAGACTCTGGCAGAGTGTGATACAGTAAGCTTGAAAATGAGCACGTTAGAATTTTCCAACCCCAAGATTGGGTGTTACACAATGCCATAACTCGCTATTATGCATAGACCCCTGCATAATGGTACCTGCGGTTTAACTATCTTGAAGGTTTCAAAAAAAATTTTGGAGGATATAAATCCTTTTCTTACTGTTATTGCAGTTCCCTTTATTTTCGGATGTTATTATTTAGGATGTTAATAACCTAGCAGACTCTGGCAGAGTGTAATATAGTAAGCTTGAATATGAGCATGTTAGACCAAAAAAAGGAAGAGCTAAGTTCGGGCGGGCCGACTATGTAATAACCTGCAACACTATGCATATTTAGCAAAGCTACCCGTAAAAAAAAGTTTGTATAAGAAATTTATGTGAAGTACAAACTATGAACCTATTTTGAGAGCGTATTATGGGCTTAGTTCTGTTAAAATTTGAGGAAACTAATGCAGGATGAGATAAAAAAACTGCAACAAAGTCAAACACCATAATTTTTATTTTTACTTTTTAATTTTATTGAATGCGGCCAAAATGTTTAAGTGCCCAAGGCTTTAATATACCCTCCAGAATATTTTCGTGATAATATTCGGCATTTATTCTAATGTCGATTAATACAGGCGGAGAGCGACAATCGGCTGTTATGGCGATTGAGTCTCCTCTTTGGCAAGTAAAAACGATCATTTTGTTTCTTTGCAAACTGCTGGACAACGAATGTTATCTCATCGGAGAAAACCAAATTCGGCAGTTCACCATTTTCGGCCAAACGAAGCAACTCTTTATCTCATTTGAGTCTATTTTCTTTCTGTTGCGGTGTAATTTCTTGCATTATTTTGAATTTCAATGACTTTATTCCGAGCTCATTTTTCAATATTTCCCGAATGGTTTATTGCGATATGTTCAGCTCACGAGCCAGTTTTCGGCCACTGCGACGCGGGTTTCGATCAAGTCGCTTCTTTGCTTTTCGAACCATTTCTGCTGATGTTGCAGTTTTCTTCTGTCCACTTCCGTGACGTCGTGCTACGCTACGGTAATGAGCGATGGTACGAGACACAAAAGATTTATTCACATTTAAATGCTGGAGTGCTCTAACGATAGCCACTTGTGGTTCTCCAGACAAATATAAAGAAATCACAATATCACGCTTGAATTTCATCACGAATAACTGTTTTTCCTTGAAAATACTCGCCAAAATGCATTTGTACGCTTGTAAACAATAAAATGAGCTGTCACTGAAATAATTTTAACAAGTTGTCGGACGAGTGTCTTAGAAATGACAGCAGTCTGAAGTTGATTGGAGTTTTTCCATCATCATCACTCTGTATATCTCTATCCGATATCAGGTTTATTGTTCACTAAATGGCCAACATCAGTCCAAATGACCTGAATTTTGGCACATCCGACTGAATTCAGTCTAGAAGCAAGTTCGTCAAATTTTGTGAAAATCTCTTAAGTTATAGCTATAACTCCCATATATATGTTTCATCCGTTTTTGGGGGTTTAAGTCCCTCATATGCGTAATATGCACTCCACAACAATGATATTTGATACCGGACATCAGATACAGCTCGATAATACCTCTGCCAAATTTTTTCGACATCTTCATCCGATTTTACGGTTGTTGTCCACCATATATGTAACATCAACCCATATTGGATAGACTGTTTCATATTCAACCGAATTTTTCCAATTGGTGAAACTCGTTCCTGTATATGTATTTCTCCAATAAATATTTTTATATCCTACAACACTATGTGTTGGGGGTATTATAAGTTTGATTGGGCCAAAAATTTTGTAACACCACGAAATATTCGTTTCCCACATAGGAAAGTATATATGGACCTTCCTATCTCGCCGAGCTGAATCGATCTAGCTATGTATGTCCGTCCGTCTGTCCATGTTAATTTGTAATCACTCTACAGGTCGCAATTATGGCCCGATCTTCACGAAATTTAGAATAGAGGTGGGGCTAGGGTTAGAATAGAACCCTATTTCTTTTGGAGATGATCGCATAATATTTAGGGGTTGAAATGGACCAAAAACTGTAAAATTTCCTGATTTTGCAGTTTTTGTCAGTACAGGTCGCAATTATAGACCAATCAAAGCGAAAGTTAGCATGGGGCTAGAGCTTAGGGCTGGGAAGAAGCCCTCCAATCATCGGGTAATATTTAGTGTGTGAAATAGGGCACAACATTTGTGTTAAATAAAAGTAAAATTTTCCATTAAACCGCGAATATTTTTTATCCCGGCGAAATCACAAAGAGACGAACAGGTCAATTCTGACCGTTACGTAGATGCCGATAGTAAATGTATCGGTTATATATAGCGAATATATACAATGTGTATATACAAAGGAAGGGGATGTTAGTTAGAATGCTTATATCTCAAGAATGGCTGGACCGATTTTGATAGATTTTGTAAATTTAGAATGAGCTTTGGGCATAAAAGTATAAAATCTAAAAAATCTCATAAAAAAATATGACAATAATGATGTTAATATATATTTTGTAGTATTTTGTGACATTTTTTTATTTTTTCATATTTTTTATCGCATGCGATTTTTTCAATTTGACTTATAATATTTTGTAATATTTTTTCACCTTAAATTATATATAATTATTGCAAATATCGTCTGATCATTACGAAAATTTCACAAGGGTAGGGTTGGGCTCAGAAGGGCTAGGCCTATTGTTTTGTAAGACGTCCGCAATATATTTAGGGGTAAAATGGGCCAACAACTAAAAATCATTCCTGATTTTTTAGCCATTATAAAGGTCACAAATATAAACCAAAGGACACGAATTCTCACATAAAGTTAGAGTTTAAGACAGCGGGTAGAATGGACCACTACTTTTGTTGGAAGAAATACCAACATTTCCATTCTACAGAAACACTGGAAATAATTTACAGGAAATTTTCAAAATACACAAAAGGCAAATTTCTGGCTTTTTTATTTATGCTGATTTCGTTGACGAATATAGCCAATTATCGTAGACAGCTAATCA